GTCACTCTTGTTGGAAACAAGCAGGCCCTCAGATTCGTTTTTGGCCTGTCTGATTTGTCAGACTTAGTACGCTGTGTTAGTCTGATTTGATCAGAGTTGGTTGAAAAAAAAAGGCTGACACTTCAGAGTGCCTAAAAAAAAAAGTCTGAAGCATTCAGAGTCTACACCAGTGACAAGTCTGATTTTGATTTTAGCCGTGTATAGGGTGCAGTTGACCTTGGTTGAACTACATTAGACAGTCACAGGCCTACATAACATACTACTGCTGATGCATTAACAGTTAGATTTAGGGTCCTACCTACCTATACTAGGGCTATATATGTCCTAGCCTATCTACTCTTAATTCTCCTCATGAAATCCATCATCATCATCATCATCACTATCAGATGCATCACTATCCTCCCCTAAGTCTTCTACTTCCATCACTTCATCTGCCTCCTTGGCCTTGTTCTGTTGCTTTCCTGCAGGCGAAAGATGAGCGTTGCTGTGGGGCTTGCGCTTCTTGTAGGCCTTCCAGATTGTCACGATCTCATCCCACTTGGGCTCGTAGTCCATGAGACTCATGCACATGAGGTCTCCCAGCCGTGCGTCCTTCAGTGAGCCTCTCTACCACGACTTGATTATATTCTGCCTGGAGAACCCCCGCTCGCACTCCACGGTGCTCAGCGGCAGGACAGCTACCGCCACCCACAAGTGAACAAGGTTGGGGTAGTTGTCCCGCCAGTCAGGTGTGGTTGAGCATGGCTGTGAGCCCCGCGTGGAAGCTGCGCTCGCCCTTGGTAGAGGCTACAAGCACCGAGGTAAACATGCGCAGCTCCTTCTCCGCACGGTGCTTGTTGACTCCTGGCGGGGTTGGGAAAAGGATTAAGAGAACAGAATGAGTAAACAGTCATTGCAGTGTCGCACAGAACACAGAGGATCGAGCCAGCGATTTTTAAAGGCACACACAAAAAGGCTTGCCTGGCACGATCTCTTCCGTCAGGTCGGCCTTGAACAAAGTGACCAGCGACTGTAGCCACTGAAGGCACCTCCGTTTCCTCTCGACTCGATCCAGCGGGTACTCGTCAGGCAGGAACAACTTCACCCCGGACATCCCATCCAGGTCGCCAAGCCGATGCTCGAGTTGGTGAATAATCACCTCCGCAAACTCTGTGCACAATTCCACACAGTCATCATGGGTCCCGGCCCTTCCCACTCCTCCAGCTCGTCCTCATGCAGCATGAATTTGAAGCGTGCTGGACGGCAGCCTGAGTCAACCCCTTCGACTTTCACCTCCCGGTTTCCTCCTGGCCCATGGCGCACGATGAAGGGGGACAGCAGCTCGCTCACCGCCACCACCGAAGTCGTCGCCGCAATCAACGTAGCGGCTCTCGATGTGGGACGTTGTGCGCTTGATCTGCGCATGCCACTGGCATAGTCAAGCTGGACAGGAAACAAAGAAAGGTAGTAAGTGTATGGTCACGGTTAACATACAGGAACAAAGCATAATGACGACTGCAACAAAACATTAACAGAAACCTATGGCCAAGCTCACCTCCTTGTGCTGGAACACCCGGTTCAGGATGTTGAGCTGCTCAAGCATATCAGCAATAAAGAAGAGAAGGAAATGAAACTTGTAACTTGTAACAAGAGCATAGAGGTTCGCGTCCCACTCCTTAAGCATCACGATGAGTGCCGGAAGCACCGCGACAAGCCTGAGCACTGCGTCGCCCCGCGAAAGCCATCGGACGGAATGAATGCCCTGGAGCTCAAGAGAGGTGGACGCGAAGACCTCTTGGAGCCCCATGAACCGTTGATGCCACGGCCCCGAACGGCCGAGATGCTCTGCCACGGTGCGAATCACCGTGTCAATGACACTGAACGCTGGAACTTTCTCGGCCGCCGTTTTAGCCACGAGTGCCTCTCTGTACAAAAGACGAAAACAACTTAAGTACATCGGGAAAGACACAGACGTAAAAGACGCAACACAAGTGATGGGGAGTACACATACATACATACCTGTGCGCGATACAGTGTGAAGACACGAGATGGGGGATGCGCAGTCGGAGGCGTGTGGTGAGGCCGGACTTGCTGCCCATCATAACGTTGGCACCGTCCGTGCTGATCCCCGCTATGCGCTGAAGGTCGACCCCGACAGCCTGCAGATGTGACACCAGAACACTGAGCAGGGAAGCTGCATCGGCCTTCTCCACGGTGAGTAGCGTCATGAACTTCGTGACAAGCTTGTTGTTACGGATGAAAGAGATGAAGATGATTAGGTGCTTCCCGCTGCACCTATCCGTGCTCTCGTCGATCGAGATGCCGACGAAGGGCGACGCCAAGACGTGTTCCAGCTGAGTTGTCTGGAGCCATGTCGCAGTCGCTTGCGTCAGCTCACCGAAACCGTATCTGCATGCACATAGAGATAGTAGTGAGAACATTATCCTCGGAACTAAACATTGACACGTCAAAGTGCATTAAATAAATTGTGGCAGTTGCACTCACGTGGTGTAGTAGGTGCCGTACCCCTTCTTCGGGAAGCCAGGCACGCCCTTCTCCGCCAGGTAACGCACCAGCTTCACCCACATCCCCATCGGCGCATCGGACCTGCTGATGAAGAGCAGGGAGTCGAGAAGGGCGACGGCGCGCGACTGCTCTGCGTCCATGGTGGCGCGGTGGTGGTCGATCTGCGGCTGCCTCTCTCCGCACTCCTGCACAGCTGTTTGTCTCGCCATCGCCAGCTTGTGCTTCGCCGTGCACGCGTGCTTACGAAACGACTGGGTCTGCAAATCCGTGGCCCTTTCCCGCGTCTCCCGCACTTGCCTCCGTCGCCAGCATAAGCTGCACAAACAGTACACTTGAAGGCAGGCAAGCCGGATGTGGTTTGGTGATTTGCAGCCAGGGAAACCGTGCTTGCCACTGACTCTTGAACTTGTCAATGGCATCATCGTATAGCCCTTCAATGAGCTCGGTCAGGTTTATGGTGAGGCGAGGACGCGGACGCTCGGACGAGCCAGGAGAATTGTTGACGTTGGCAGTCAAGGAAGAAGGCTTGGCGAAGCTCAAGGTCGCCTGCTTGAGCCGGACGGTTCGCTCCGTGGTCTGAGTGGGATGGTGCGATGCCGAAATGACAGGTGGTTCCGCACGTATCTCTGCCACAGGGTCGGGATTTGAGAGCACGGGAGCTGGAGGTTCCTTCGAGGTGGGGATAGAATCGGGCTCCGCGCGTGCTGCCTTCTCGAGAGCTAGGTGACTGAGAAACAAATCTAGGCCTGTTAACGCAGGACGAGAATCAGGGTCGTCATCATCTGCGGTTGCGGGATTGTCGGGCAGAGCCATGGCGCGTGTCTGAGAGAGCCTGCCGAGCAGGAACGAGAGGTTCTGAGGCTACTGAACTGGGTAGTGTATGGGCCCAAAGAGATGAAGCTGAGCTGAGGAATGGCAATAAACCCTAGGTTGTAGAGGATGGCCCTATAACTGACTGTGGGCCATCCATGCCTCTGATGGGTGGTTGCCTAGCATGCACGGCAACGACGAGGTGCATCTGCCGTGCACTGCTGTGAGGATTACATCGTGTTGGTACACGATGCTGCCAAAGGGACCAATCAACGATTCTTCTTGGCAACGTATGCTTGCCAACACCTTTATGTGGGTGGCAACTGCTGCAGCATGTTGGACCGTGGTGGTGGTGGTGGAGTCCGTTGGCAGTCAAGAGCTGCCAACGGACCAATCAGTGCTCTAACAGAGTGTGAGCTGGAACTTACACCGCGGGAAACTTCGCGCCGCAGGGCGGGGGAAAACTGTACGAGGGAAACATCGCGCCGCAGGGCGGCGTCGCCCACAGAACTTCTCAGTTGGCACAGATTTCGCGTGATTGACGGTACAGGTACAATGTACCACCGCTAATCCTGGGTGTTGGCGCACAGGTACATTCAATCAGAGTCGGTACTCGTTTGTACTCTGAATTCCTCAGAGTACACTCCCGGGAAACTCTGAAATCTCAGAGTCAGCATATAAAGTAGATCTGATTTTATAGAGTTAAGGCTATAAAAACTCTGAATTTCACAGAGTACACCCAAAAAAATATCTGAAATCTCAGACATTTCCAAGCAAATCAGACAAATTTCTCTGACTTCTGAGGGCCTGCATCCATGTTTCCCCCTCGTCTGGCATGATATCAACCTGCCAGACATGAACATGCATGTAGTCTAGCCCTTGTACATTTTTCTAAATGGGTGTTTCTGTACAGATAACTAATCGCTTCGTTCTGGCCTGGAATGGGGAAGACTTCAATGGAATACCACCTGCAGAGGGTATGAAATTTCTCTGTAGGAAATGGTTGCTTTGTTTGTGCAAGACATTTGATTTAATTGTTGTTTTCAATAACACTAGATTTGAGAACACTTTGTCTTAGCTCACATGCCACCACACGATACATCAACCAACACAACAGCCTTGTCTTAATGTCACATGGTCGGGCGAGGAAACGAGGTCCTAGCTTTCTGCTTCTTCCTCCTCCCCTTGGTCCTTGTTGCCTTGTGCAAGAAGAGAATGGGCCTGGACCCTGGTGCTTTCCACTCCAACACTTGGAACATTGTCCTGTTCAATGATGGGGCTACGCAACAGTGTAGCGGAAAGAATGAAAACGGGTTTGCCATCCCCTTGTCACTGACAAGCAATAACTAGGGCTGAATTGGAATGAGAATGCTGGTAAGGGTTGTGGTGGAAAGAGAACAGTGGTGAGCTGCATGAAGTGGATATATTACAACATTTGACGTCTAACAGGCCAGGCGGGTACGCATTGGGCTGCCCATTTCCCGTCGCCCCATACTCCTTACTGCATGCTTCGAGTGCCAACAGCTGCAGCATCGACAACACTCACCTAAAGCTCGTTATTGCATGCTTCGGTTGCCCAGAGCTGCAGCAGTGACAGCACTTACCTCATACTCGTTATTGCATGCCATGGATGGTGCTGCAGGGAGAATCGCACCTTCTGAGGCAATTCGCAAGTCGCTTCGTTCTCATTTTCCTCTCCAGTTTGTTTGCTCACAACGGAACCGGCAGCTGGTGTAGAGAGCTTCAGCTTCAGTGACGGAGACAAGGAAAGGTGAGGAGAGGAGAGGAGCGTGTGTGAGGGAGGAAAGTAGGGGAGTGCTGGGGAGGGAGAGTAGGGGAGCGGAGGGGCGGTGGTAAGTGGGCAGAGGGAGGTGCAGCAGGTGCAGCAGGCGGGGGAGAATGGCGTCGATGCGAGCTCGGATGGTGATGTGTGCATGGCGGTCGAGAGGGGTGCGCTGAAGGTTGATGACCACCAGGAGGCTTGCCAGGCGGGGCAGCTTGCTGGCTGGTGGCACATGGTGGGGGTGAGGAGAGGGAGAGAAGCAAGAGAGGGGGGAGAACGGCATCAACGCGAGCTCTGATGGTGATTGAGGCATTGGGTTGCTAAACGAGGGAGCTTGCTGGCTGGTGGCACCTGGTGGGGGTGAGGAGAGGGAAGGAGGGAGGCAGGGAGGGAGGGAGGGTAAGCAGGCAGGGGGAGGTGCAGCAGGCAGGATAAAACGGCATAGGTGAGAGCTCGGATGGTGATGTGTGCATTGTGGTCGAGAGGGGTGCACTGAAGGTTGATGATGACCAGACAGGTTGCCAGGCGGGGGAGCTTGTTGCTGGTGGCATCTGGTAGGGTGAGGGGAGAGCATGAAGTGATTAGCCACTTTTGAAGCGACTCAGGGGAGAGAGGAGTGGGCAATCATCCAATTATGCTGCCCCAATGACCTCCTTCCCTTCCAAATTTCTCACGCTAGGCTTCTTCTATGCCCAGGTTCTTCAGCCTTTTCTATGCCCAGCTTCTTCTATGCGTGATTGGATAGCGACTTCCTGTTTATTGTCTTATGCACGATACAGATCGCGTTGAAGTGGCTCAAAACTGTGGCAGTTCAGACAAACGGACCTGAATGTCGGTTACGAGAATTCCCAAAAGATAACTCAAACGCACCTTGAAGGAGGAGCCAAGGCAGAGCGCCACATGTGCGCCCATGCTTGCCTCCCTCGCCTTACTCAACTCCGCATCGTCCATCCTCTCCCCGAAGTGCACTATCGAATCCACCAACTCGCCCCCACACACGCCTCTACTATCACCCTTCTCCTTTCCGCCTCTACTATCACCCTTCTCCTTTCCTCCCTCCTCCTCCCCTCCCTTACTTCCTCCTCTTCCTCCCCACTCTTTTTCTCCTCAAATTGCTCCTCCTCCCACGCTCCAAGGTGGAAAAAAACGGTTGCGATAAAAAACGATTGAAAAGAACGATCGTTTTTTACGGTCAGGTTTGGGAAAAAAACGTCGTTTTTTTGTAAGACCCAAATTTTATTTTAGAAAAAAAAAAAAAAAAAACAACAACTAAACAAATCCACAGCCACCTACACTCTCTGGCAAGTCAGTGCTGATGAGTTTCCTAGCCTGATTGCAATTAAAATAAAACATAGAAATGTCGTTACTAATGTCACTAATGTCCCATGCGTTGGACCCCCCGCCCTCCTCCTCCTCCTCCTCCTCCTCCTCCTCCTCCTCCTCCTCCTCCTCCTCCTCCTCCTCCTCCTCCTCCTCCACCTCCTCCTCCTCCTCCTCCTCCTCCTCATCCTCATCCTCATCCTCCTCCTCCTCATCATCGTCTTCGTCAGCCGAACGCTTCTTGGTCGCCTTTTCCTTGATTCCCTTTGTCACCTCTTTCTTCTTCCTCATCCCGATGCTGCCAAGAGCTTCCCAGTCAATCACGCAATCGACATCACCTTCTTCCTCTTCAAACCCGTGGTTCAGAGCCTTCGGCCTGTGGTTCAGAGCTTTCAAGTGCCGTCGTCGTCACTCTTTCTAGAGTGCTCTCGTTGAGCTTGCCTGCTGCAAGGTCTGCAAAAAGGTTGGCGCGCACTTCCTGCTTCTTGTCGAATGCAGCCCTCGAACGCCTACTGAATGCCACCGTGGTGACATCGATCATGGTCTGAGCGCTCAATCTGTTGCGATCCCGCCGCTGCACCCTTGCCATCGTAGACCAGCATCTCTCAACTTCCGACGCAGTGATAGGCTGTGATAACATTCTCACAGCCAAATCCTGCAGCTCGGGGAGTTCCCCTCCATACATCGCCCACCAATCCGCATGTGAGAGACGTCCACTCTCCACGAGCATCGCTGCGGCCCGTGCATCTTCCCCCCCCAGACGACCCTCACCTCTGTGGTACGTAGCAAGCTGGGCTTGCAGCAAGATTCGGCCTTGCACGTCACCTCCTCGTGCCTGCAGCACCGCATTGACCCCTTTGATGATCTCGGGGTCGTTGCGGACTTCCATCGCGAGCTGGTTCTTCGGGTTAAGGAGCCAGCCGAATGCATGCATCGGGTTATGCAACTGCTTATCCCATCTGCGCACGATGATGCCTTTGATGGCCGCCAAAAACTTCGACCTCTTCTTCCCGGCGAGCACTTGGCTGTGACGCCTGAAGAATGTCGCTGCAAAGAAAGACATAATACCATTAGGCCACGAATCTGGTTTGGCTTAGGGTGCACTTGTAATGGGTGTTCAACACTGCTTACTTGCTCCCTCTACCGCCTCATTGACCGCCACGGTCGCCTCGAGCATCATCCCGTATATAGATCCCATCGCAAGAGCCCTTGTGTCGACTGCTCGTAGCACGTTGTAGATCGGCATCATCAGTTTCTGCACTGATTTGACCGATTCCCAGAAGATATCATCCAGAAGGAGCTTCCGGATTTTCTTCGCATCTTCGGTCTTAGACACAGCCACCTCCTTCCATTGGTCACTGATGACCAGCTGGCGAAGCTGTTCCTTGACCTCCAAGAACCGGGTGACCATGATCACATGCGTGCCAAATCTGGTGGTACCCTGGCCGAACAAGCTCCAGCTTGCTGAAAATCGTGTGGAAAAGGGCAACAAAGCTCGCACTTCCCTTGACCATCATCACGATGCGATGGACCTGGGTGAGAACTTTCTTCACAATGACGATGTTACCCATGTCGTGGAGCATCAAATCGAGACAATGGGCAGCACAGTTGGTGAAGAAAATCGACGGGTAACCCTCACCGAGAATGGCGGCAGCACTCTTGTATTACTTGCGTTGTCCATGACCACCTGAATCACCTTGTTGTCCCCCACCTTCACGATTGACGTCCTTATGAGATCAGCCAGGTATGATCCTGTCTTCTTCGACAACTTGGAATCGACGATTTTGACAATCACTGGTGCAGTGTCGCTGTGCGCCAACACACACACCAAGCCGCGACTCTTCAGGCACGACCATCCGTCGACGGAGATGGTGCACGACGTCGTTGCCCAAGAATCTGTCAAGGGCCGCACGAGTTCTTCCGTCTCTGTCTTCAATCTGGCGAGCAATGGGCCCGCGACTTTGTAGGCAGACGGGAGTGTGTAGGGTCTCCTAAAACTCACTAACGCGTTCAGAAAGTTTTGGACCGCTACAGATCTGTGGGGTGTGGTATGAATGCCAGCAAAGCATAAAATGAACAAGGTGAGGAGGAGCGTTGCAGCAGCAGCCAAATCATGATGGGCATGAATCTGCAGCAGCCATGAGGTGAGCGCAATTACACCATACCAAATTAACACGTAACATGGGGAGGGAAGAGGTCCACGGAAGAAACATGGCACAAGGGTTAAGCGTTTCCACTCACTCAGAGACCCGAAACGCCCAATCGTTTTCTGCCACCGCAGTCACCCATAGCAGATCGAGTTTGTCACGGCCCTTTTCGTCCGTCACGTCACGGGTGTCGAGCTGGCGGCCCTTCTTAGGGCCGTTCCCCACCAAGGATGTTGAGCTGCTCCGATTGCCCGAAGACGTTGCACTCTTGAGGCGGAGATTCACCGCAAAGTAAGACTTACATACCCCTATGTTTTTCGGCTGACCTTTCTCGATCCCTAAAATGTGGTCTCTGATTCGTGTAGCGCTTGCAGGAATGACAGCGGGTTTGTCCTTAGGCCAGTGAATGCACACATAGACGTCTTTTCCGTCTTTGTCAGTTACCTCCTTCACGTGGTCCCACATTTCAGATCGTGCTCTAGGCATTGTGGATGGAAAAGGGGCCTACTCGAACAAGAACTGGCTAGAATGGACGTGGAGTGGTGTGGTGGCTACTAATAACAACAGAAATCGTCCGTCGGCAAACAGCTTGCATCTTTGCTGGGAGTCAGCGTTCACGCCGGGCGTTGGATACTATCAGAGAGATTGGGCGTGCTACGCACTAGTCCCGTGGAATTCGTGTCGGACACCACGAATTCAGAAATTGCGTTACGGGAAGTGAAAAGTGGGTAAGACGTGGCAACACTTGGAAGTCACGTCGCAAACCCAAGTGATAAAGTTTCGCTGACGTGCAGCAACATAATATCATGTCGCAAATGCAACTGTAGTTCTTCGCAGCGCTGCAATCCTAAGTGCTCTGAGGCTTTTATGACGCGCGCGAAAAAAGCGAGTGCAAACTTTTCCGTGCGAAACATTTTTCACGTCGCAACCAACCCTAGCATGACGAATTGATCTGTGCGTCAACTACCTGCGGTTCGAGGAACAAACAGAAGCAATACAGATGTACAACTTGGCACGTCGCGTCGCACGCCCTGACATTCGAGCTTCGCACATGCACGAATTCTTTTTTAAGGGTGCGCGAAGTGGCCTCGAGGCTTTGCGAAATGAGCGAGAGCAGGGAAGCGAAGTGTTGGCATGCCGCGCCTACCTGCGGCCCCGTCGCCACCTGTGGCCCCGTCGCCTACCTGCGGCCCCGTTGCCACCGTGCGGCCCCGTCGCCTACCTGCGGCCCCGACGCCACCTGCGGCCCCGTCGCCTACCTGCGGCCCCATCGCCACCTGCGGCCACCGTCGCCACCTGCGGCCCCGTCGCCTACCTGCGGCCCTGTCGCCTACTCGCGGCCCCGTCGCCTACCTCGCGGCCCCGGCGCCTACTTGCGGCCCCGGCGCCTACCTGTACGGCCCCGGCGCCGACTCTGCTATCAAAACTTGAACGAGAATGATCAAGTTTAACTAGGGCCTAGGCTTAGGAGCCTAGGCCCAACTAGGATGTCGAGTGGTTTTGTGCCAAGGGTGAGGATGGAGAGAATTGGGAAGAAGAGGTTTCACTATAGGTTTCAAGGAACATATAGCATAGGAAATAAAGAAGGTGCACCACCAAACTAGGTTTATAATAACTACACTAACTACAGCTACAGGCAGTTACAAATATAAGTTCTGACACTCCCCCATAACTGCCTGCAGCAGGAGTTTGTGCAGAATACAACCTGCAGGTGTACACATGCGACAGCAGGAAATGCAGGCGGGCTGACACTAGCTAGTCACCCCCTCCATCTCCTCACCCTCCTCCTTCCCCTCCCCCACACTGCTGCAGGAGCAGCAGAGAAGGGGGGAAAGAGAGGAGAGGTGGAGGGACGGCTGCTGGTTGCCTCACACCCGCCACCCCGGTGCCACTCCCTCTGCTCCCCCACACCCTCACAACCTCCCCCCCAGCGGCAGCTGCAGCAGTGGGAACGAAAGGAGGAGGAGGGGAAGGGAAGGAGACGACCCAACACTCCAACACCCGCCATCCACATACCCTCCCCCCCACAGCTGCAGGGAGACAAAGGAGGAGGGGGTGGGCAGGAAGAAAGCCGCAGAGCGGCTACAATGTGTCGGCGCAGGTAGGTCAGGGGCGGCTGCAGTGAGAGCAGGTGCGGAGAGGCCCGTCGCGTGCCACGGGGCGCACGACGGGTAAGTTTAAGGTAAGGGCACCGTCGTGTGCCTCGGGGCGCACGACGAGCAGGGCACCGTCGCGTGCCACGGGGCGCACGACGGGCAGGTTTAGGGCACCGTCGCGTGCCACGGGGCGCGCGACGGGCAGAGTAGGAGTCACTCGCCAACCGGGGGCGGGACAATAGAAAATCGCCACCCGCCCTAGGCGCGCGACCGGAAAAAACGTAGCAGCGGAAGCATGAGGCGGGCCCACAGGCCAGGACGTAACTCGCTCAGGTAGCATGAGAAGAAACGAGAATGATCAAGTTTAACTAGGACCTAGGCTTAGGAGCCTAGGCCCAACTAGGATGTCGAGTGGTTTTGTGCCAAGGGTGAGGATCGAGAGAATTGGGAAGAAGAGGTTTCACTATAGGTTTCAAGGAACATATAGCATAGGAAACAAAGAAGGTGCACCACCAAACTAGGTTTATAATAACTACACTAACTACAGCTACAGGCAGTTACAAATATAAGTTCTGACCATTTCTGCATGTCGCGCCTCGAATGTGGGTCCCAGGGCTCAGGTTTGCAGTGTAATTTACCCTTCTATACTGATAAGAAGGGTGAAATTTTGGCTCAACACTGATGGGCTGGGGTATTTTTTTTTGTGAATTAGTGTTACACTGATCTGTAAGTGTATCGTTGTAGGCCACACTGATGCCTTAGGGTAATTTTCTAGTTATCGAAGATTACACTGGAGGGCGTACAGACCCACCCCCCCCCCCCAAGCCTTCCCCCTTTCTTTTCCCCGAGACTTGTCAGAGCGTAATTTCCGCTAGTCACGCCTTCCGCTAGTCACGCCCTGACGTTATCTTCCGTTCTGTACGTGCGTTGGCCACTATTTCCCTTGCCAGCACGACACTGCAGTGTACGGAAAAAATGCCACACTGATGCTGCATGGTGAAAATTTCAAAAAGTTTATGTTACACTGCTCTAACAGTGTAATGAAAATTTACACACTGCTCAGAAGGGTTTTAGAAAATGCTACACTGCCAATCGTGAGTAGGCCAAATCCAAAATGAAGCCCTGGTGGGTCCAAATTTCTGACCCACAATTCCTCTCTGTACTGGGTGGATTCACTTCAACCCACATGCCTTTGCTCCCTCATGAATCCTCCGGCTATCTCAACCCCTTGTGTTGCTTGTGTATAGAGTGAAAAGCTTCACTGCAAGTTGTCTGGTTCCAGAGATCATCGTAACTGTCATTTGTGGTGCGAAATTTACGATCGAAAAAAACGATCGTTTTTTTTCAACCAAAACACTACTAATCAATATTGTCGTTTTATTCCGTTTTATACGATCGTAAGTTTCGATATCAAAAAAAAAAAAACGACAAAAAAATGAAAAAACAAAAAAAAAAAAAACGTCGCTTTTTTGCACATTGCCACGCTCCCCTGCCCTCACACTCTCTTCTCACTTCATCCTTCTCCTCCCCTCCCTCCCTCTGCTGCTTCTCTTCCACCTCTCACCATCTCCTTGCACCCCCCTCGTTGTCCATACCGTGCATCAGGGGGGAGCCGACTTATCAGCACCAGCAGCAGCACCACACCAGCAATCCCAGCCACAGCGGTACACAGCCGTCCATTCTTGTGGCGGTGGTAGGAGGACCCTTTAGCTGCCGTGACATCAACAGACGCAGGTACTTGGCCCCACATTCTTTGCACCTCTCCCCGTACACCGATCCATGCAGCTCGGATGGACGGTCTGATGGCATGCCACTTCGGGTGAAGGCCGTCCACTGGCAGAATCAGATTGGGAAGGGACAAAACGATAAGAGACGAAAGGCGATCGGAAGCAGGAAGGCGATCGGAAGCAGGAAGGGACAAAACGAGAAGAGGGAGCAGGTACTAGGAGGATAGTGAGAGGGAAGTGAGAGGGAAGTGAGAGGGAAGTAAGTGGACAGGTACCCCACCCTCCCAACATCTGTACCGGTGTGCATTATCCCTGCCACCAACCATTGCTGCCCTAGCAACCAGCCTCTATGTGTTCTGTTCCCAACCATCTGTTGAGCGCATAAGCATCTATCTCTCTGCACCCACCGTCCCGAGTCACCACGTTCTGCACTATCCCAGCCCGCACCATTGCTGCGCCTGCAAGCAACCACCCTGTAACAGCCCAGCCTATAGCTATTCACTTGCACCTCACGATTCTGCTGCACCCACCGTTCTGAGTCACAACGAGTTGCACTACCCCAGCCCCCACAATTACTGGCAACCACGCTGTAACAAACGCATCGCTATCTATTCACACCCCCCATTTGTACTCCCCAACCCACCGTTCTGAGTTACCACGTGCTGCACTATCCCAGCCCGCACCATTGCTGCACTGCTATGTGCCCCATCGTGGGCGAAGCTTCCTCGTACTTTCTCCCCATGGCCACCGCACTGTCCCTCCCCTGCAGCGTCCACACGCCTCTGGGCCCTCTAAAGTCCGAATGCCCGCTGCTAGTGCTCAGCCCCGCCCCACTGTGAACCACCAGGAGGCTCCCTCTCATTCTTTTCACCCCTGCCTCTGCCTCTGCTTCTGCTTTCTGCTTCTGCTTCTTCTGCAACTGCTTCTGCGCCTGCTGCATCTGCTGCTGCTGTCTGGCTGTTCTCTCCCGCTAGTCCGAATCGCTGCACCAGCCGTAGCAGTTGCTGTGGGGCCAGACGGAGAGGGGGAGGTTTTCTCCTCCCCGTCTCACGTCAGTCGTCGAGGTGGGTCTGCGCCTCTACTTGCTCGGGGGGGTTCTCTCCTGTGGGGCCAGAGGGGGGAGGGGGAGGGAGGGGGAGGGTAGGGGGTGAGAGGAGAGGGGGGAGGAAGGTGAGAGTGGTGGGGGAGAGGGGTGAGGTGCCTTAAAAAGCTGCTGAATTGGCGCCTCTACTTGCTCGGGAGGGTCCTCCTCCTGTGGGGCCAGGGGGAAGCGGGAATGGGGGAGGGCGGTGGTTGGGGAAAAGGGGAGTGAGGCACCTTTGCTCGAATCTCCCACACTCCAACACCAGCCGCAGCAGCTGCTGGATCTTCGCCTCTACTTGCTCGGTCGGGTGGATCCTCCTCCGGTGGGGCAAAACGGGAAGGGAGAGTGGGGGCGCCTCAAAAGAGCTGCTGAGGCTTTGCCTCTACTTGCACCGGTGGGGCCCTCCTCCTATGGGGCAGGCAGAGAGGGGATGGGGGTGGGCGGTGAGGGGGAAAAAAGGGGAGTGAGGGGATCTGGAATTACATGTAGGGGAGTGAGGGATCTGGAATTACATGTAGGGGAGTGAGGGATCTGGAATTACATGTAGGGGAGTGAGGGATCTGGAATTACATGTAGGGGAGTGAGGGATCTGGAATTACATTTAGGGGAGTGAGGGATCTGGAATTACATGTAGGGAGTGAGGGATCTTGGAATTACGATGTAGGGGAGTGAGGGATCTGGAATTACATGTTAAAACTTTGTGGGGCCAGGGGAGAAGCGGCAATGGGGGTGGGCTGTGGGGGAGGGAAGGGGAGTCAGGCACCTAAACAAAAATGCCCTCTACTTGCTCGAGCGGTTTCACAAGACGCTGCCTGTCAGCTCCTATACTTGCTGGGGGCAAGCGGGGAATACTGAAAGGGGGATGGGGTAGGGGGGGGGGGGGGGGGGGGGGGGGGGGGGGAGGGGGGGGGGGGGGGGGGGGGGGGGGGGGGGGGGGGGGGGGGGGGGGGGGGGGGGGGGGGGGGGGGGGGGGGGGGGGGGGGGGGGGGGGGGGGGGGGGGGGGGGGGGGGGGGGGGGGGGGGGGGGGGGGGGGGGGGGGGGGGGGGGGGGGGG